ATGAAAGAGGCATAATTTATATTTATTTCCTAAATTTTTTATGGTCGTTACAAGATCGGTGAAATCTACTAAACCTATACAGAGATTCATTCTGAAAATAACAGATAAAATATAAAAATTTTTCTTAAGAAACATTTGATAACTATCTGAACATTATAAAGACTTCATACGTGAAATTTGAAAATTTTTTTCTGCATAAAAGTATTTTTAATCTTAAATGAATATTACTTTGCATGTTAGATAGGCAACATGCGAAAAAAAAAAATGCAAAAGAAAAACATTGCTTTACAAACCTTAAGACTTAATACAAAAATTGATATTTTATGTATGAAAGCATTGTAATGTTTACTGATAATGTACCAAATTTCATTAACATTCGCTTACAAGTTATAGCATGAAACCTATAATAAGCACAAAATAGTTACGAGGTTGGTCCCAGGGACTGAGCCTGTGCTGAAAAGGTTAACTCGCACCTGTTGTACTGGTTTTGTTTATTCTAATAAAGATTCACTTTTTTACTCCTGAAGAAAGAAGAGCAAATTATTTGAAAGTGCTTGAGTTTCTGGTATTTTTGAAATCTATTATAGACTGAGATTTTGCAAAATTAAGAGTGCGATGGATTGTATTGTTTTACATGTTTTTAGTTAAGTAATTGGCAGGATGATTAAGGACACATTCTACAAACCTATTTAAGTAATGCTTGCTTGTTAGACTACAGTGGTAGGTGTGAGAAAAGGTTCAGTTAGGTTTTTTCTTGACACTAGTTAAAGTCTACAGAAGCTTCAATCTTTTATCCACAAGAATATTGAAGTCAATTTTTAGAAAAAATTATATATTTTTGCAAACATTTCAGAACTAAGAAAATTAAATAAAATGTATCTGATAAAAGTTATTTAAAATATTGGGAATTTTCTATTTCAGTTTCAGAATTATTAACAAGTATAAAAAAAAGTTATTTATTTTTCCCCATTCTTCTTTATTGGTGATCTTTCTTTAATATAATTTTACATGTTTTAATGAAACATTACATGTATGTTTTTTTTTTTTTCAGGACAAAAGTTTCCAGGAAACTGTGGCAAATGTATTGTTATATGCTAAAGTAAATTTTTTTCTGTTTGGATTTAAAATTTGTTTAGATTATTATGTTTTTGTGAATGTTTGTTTTTATTTTGGAGCAAGCATCTGGGTATTAATCTAAATTTTTTAATTTTCAAACCCCAGGAAGTTGACTTAGGGTTTGCTCCAGATTTAGGTACACTACAAAGAATTCCAAAAACTGTTGGAAACAACAGTATGGTGCGAGAGATGATTTACACAGCAAGAAAGGTGGAAGCTGGTGAAGCTAAAGGAGTGGGTATTGTTTTTTTCTTCTGTAATATAAATACATAGCACTAAATCACTAAATACGTAGGGTCATAAGGTTTTGTTTATGTTCACATATGGAATGTGTAATATTGTAAAAAGAAATGCTGTATTTTTAAAGCAGTGCCTCCCAAAATTTTTCAGTTCACAGCATGCTTTTATCGTCCAAACTTTTTTGAAGTCTGTATGGCAGGCCTTGTGGCACCCCCCCTGACTAAGACAGGCAGAAATTACTGTTATACTTTGCATCAAGGAGAAAATAAATCAAATTTTAAATTGATAATTAACTTACATTACTCAATAAAAATTACTAATTTAAAGAACAGAAATTGGCTATAATATTTTTCTTATCTAGAACCTTTTTTATAGTGAACCTAAGCTTAAATTATAATTTACTACTAGCACCTTAATGAAATGGTTCAGGGTTATTATGTTGTCTTGCATTTTTAGTAGAATACTGTAAGTAATACATGTCTCTTTGTCGCTCTACTACCAAATTTATAAAATGAGTAATAAAAACTTTCACACTGAGCTTTATTCTGTTTCCCCTTGTTGGAATGAAAGCAGATTGATATCTTGAGATGTTTTAAAGTTTATCCATGGAAATTTTCAGATTACTTCAGGTTCTCTGTTTTAATTTTCTTATTGATAGTTTTATATAAAAATAAGCTAATTTGCTAGTTTGTGCAAGTTTTCACTTACAAGACTAGGCTATTTAAAAACAATAACTCAGGCTTTAGACGTGAACAGTTTGTGTTATATACAGATACCATTTGTCCCAGGGGCATTATAGTATTACCTTATTTTGCGTATGGGGAGGGAGAAAATTAAGAAGTTTGATTAAAACTTAATTCACCACTCTACAGATGGGATTTGTAAGCCAGGTTTTCCCTAACAAAGAAGTCATGATGTCTGAAGTTGACAAATTGGCAGAGTCTATTGCTTCTAAAAGTCCAGTAGCTGTTCAGGGTTGTAAAGTGGCCCTGAACTATTCACGTGATCATACCATCAGTGAAGGATTGAAGTTTATGGTAAGTTAAAACTTTTGTGTGTGTGTGTTGGCTTGTATCATAAACAAAGCTCTGGTAAAGTTTACCATAAATTACCTAAAAATACATCATCTTTCTAATGATATAAATAATATTAACCTGTTCTAAAGAAATCTGAATCACATTACTATTGACAAATTTTGTTTTTAATGTGTGCTATATGGTTCTGAGCTAATTTATTTGTCTGATATTAAGAAAGATTCAAGCAAAATAAATTTTTATCTTTCTAAAGTTTCAAGAAGAAAAATAATATTATTATACAGAATGTACTAGCACTATTGTTGCCTCAATTTTGAATTTTAATTTGTTTCAAATTTTATTTTGCAGCAATGCTGGAATATGACGATGCTTCAAAGTGAGGATGTCATAAAAGGTTCAGAAGCTGTTGCCAAGAAAGCCGAGAAGCCACCACATTTCTCCAAACTGTGATAACAGTTGTCATGTATTTTGTAAGGAAGGTTTATAGTCTTTTATGCCATTGCTGGTTTTTAGATAAAACACTTACTCCATATTTTAAAATTTATGTTTAAGAACAATATTACAATAAACCTGTCATAATAAACTTACTTAAATTTTTATACACAATGAAGTTTTTTTTTTATAATGCATTTGGTAACTCAATACCGGTTAGTTTATGGTATAGGTTTGAAGGCTCATAATTTTTATTAGTATGATCCAACTTATTATAGCCGTCATTGGGATTTCTCTTTAATATAATGGATAACAAAAATAAAAAACTATTATATGAGAATCTGTATAAAGTATATTATTTGCTAAATATAAACTGTTTAGAACCATGGCTAGTATTTCTCAATTTTTGCTTAGATTGGTTCTGTCTTAAAAGCTTTGTAATATTTTAATGGCAGGTAATCTGTTTTCTTGTGTATTTTATTGGTAGTTATGAAGATTTGGTATAAGCATTACTTGTTAAATATGAAGCAACCAACAATAAAATAATGTTTTGGAACTTGTTTTCTTTATTATTCTCATGTTGTGTTTGGGAGAGAACTATTATTTTTAAGATACATCAAGCAATTGTGTAATCCAATGAATCGATGTTTTTTTTTTATTTTCTTCATGGCTTCTGTCCTGTGTCAGAAAATTAAGACTAGTCAGTAAGTGTTCTAACTCTCGGGGCGTGTCTTTTGGAAGATCCATTATTGGTAGTTATTGCTTCCAGAGACTTTTCTTTTGGGTATTAAAATGGGTAACTTTTCTTATGACAAACACCTGAGTATCCTTATGAATATGGTCTTTTACAATTCAAACATCAAGGTTATATAATAATCAGTAAAGAATTGAATTACTAAATAATAGCTTTTTTAAAACGTCTCATGCAAAGCCAAAATGATTTGCTACTTGTACAGGATTGTCCGGATATTGAATAAGGAATGAAATAGTATTCATTCTAAATTTGTAACATTATTACCCTGAACTAAGACCACCACCAACAGCTGAAATTCGTATTTTGCACATTACAATACGATTCCACATATAATTTCGAAATATACATCCCAAGAACTACATAAGTTATCATCAGAACCATGCCCTTGTTTGTTGTCACTGTTAGCTGACAAATGATAGCACTGGTCCAACAATATAATCTCATCTAAACTAGTTTTCTGAAAGCGCAACATACCTTTTTCTAAATGCTATTTTCTCTATCTTTATATTTAATAAATAAAACTTTCTATAGTTTTAACTTATGATGCTCTTTTATCTACACAGCATGTCTGATTCTTGTTATACCATGAGTGCATTAACTCATATTCATTAATACTAAAATTGCATGATTTTTTCCTGTATTTTGTGTTTGTTTTAAGTTTTAGCCACAAATTTTCTGACATCTTAGGCGAGTATTAAATTTCTAAATTCAGTGGCTCAAGTTGCTTTCTTACAAAGTATTGGTCATCTTATTTGGTATTTAGACTTTCCTAAGTAGTGGTAGAGGACACCAAAGTCATTCTGTGCCTTGTAAGGTTAGAAAATAAATGTTATAGGTGCACATGGCCATTCAAATAAAAAACAGCAAATTCATTTGAGGTTAATTTGACAATCCAGTCAAACTTTATGAAATGTTGCCTCTATTCTTATTGTCAACAGATTGCATCTAGGGATCAAATCATGGCTAGATTCTAATAAAACATTTCATCTGGTCCTGTCCAGTGCACACCTGCATATTGAATTTAAAAATTTAAGAAAAAATAATAATTCTATTTATTTCAATTATTTTTAAATCAAAAATATTTTAGAATTTATATTTTGTAATGTTTATTTAGTGTAATTCTCAAATACAAATGCAGAAAACGTTAAAATTTTATCTCTGCACAGGTTCAAAGAGTTATTCGTAAACAACACGCCAGTTTTTTGTTAAAATATTTTCTGCCCATCGCAAAGCATATGCATTAATTTGATAGGAATATAATTAACCAAGTCTTGTTTCTCTTGTGATTTTCCTTCCTTATGTGGATGTATTATTGGGCCTCTCTTCACATCACATACCGAGAGCTCATAAAATATTAAAAACAATTACTGATGAACAGGTTTGAAAATAGCTAATGGCAAAGTTTAAATATCATTGGATAGAGAATATTATAAACTATCCATGTCAATGTAAAGTAAGTAGTGTGAAAAAGTGACTAATTTATGTATTCAAAACATGCACATAAATAAAAGGTATGATTTACTGAGAAATATATATGAGAATAAAACTGATTTTTACCACAAATATTTTTACTAACTTAGCCTGACACAACATCGTCTACAAAGGTTAGGTCTTGGGTCACAAATCTATCAGTTTGTGAGGCATGTTTTACAATTTGGGGCTGAATGTGGCAACTATTACAATGGGTAAAATAGTTTCTAGTTGAAATTGACTGAGAAAATAAGTTGGAACTTTCTAATCAACAGCAAAAAAAAATTAAATTAGCCTACTAACTGATGCACCAGGCAAAATTATGGTTAAAACACTTTCATTTAAAAGGAATTGGTTAAACATCTGCCATACATTTGGACACAACCTAGTGCCTTCCTCAGTAGTAAAACTACGTCTAAACATATGAAAGGTTTTTAACCAATCAACTGTGATGAAAGTGACCCACTCCCAGTGGCACAGCAGTATGTCTGCAGACTTGCAAAGCTAGAAACTGGGTTTCGATACCTATGGTGGACAGAGCACAGATAACCCATTGTGCAGCTTTGTGCTTAACTACAACTAAACAAACATGTGAAATTGTTTTAAACTTTTGTTTTAAATTTAATTTTGCCTGATGTGTTAGTAAAAATGTTAATCATATTATTTACACGTGTATCTTAAAATAGTCCTCTAAATTTAAAAATTGAAAATCTATCATGATATGAAAAAATGTGAAAGAAGAGTGATGAATGAAAATACCATTGTCAAAAGCCAAATCAACAAACAGCCGTTTATTCTATTTTTCATATTGAAAATTGGTGAAGAAGCTAGTTTTGATGGCAACATTTGGAGAAGATGTCCAACTTCCATGTGTAAGTGCAGTACAAAATTAAATTTATGGAAACAAAGACAAAACTTATAAATTAGTTATTTGTACATAGGGCAATTGCATATCTAAAGAATAATTTTAACGGTGATTCTATTCACTAGTGCGCAATAGTAGTTGTGGAATCGGTACAAACAATTTATTGTAAGAGGTACTGAAAGTACTTTAAAACAGTATACCAACATGAGGCAATGTATTATAAACAAGTTTGGCATTCTGTAGCACAAGTTCAATCCTTATACTACTTTTGACCAAAGTATAGTATCTTAACTATACCAATGATGTGATGGTGGTAGAAGAATACTAAGGCACACTTCGTAATTGTCTTTGTGGTATCCATGTATAGTAATTCTAAATACAAACAGTTTTACTAAAATAATAGTTTTATTTCTAGTTGTCTTAGTTTTGTTATTCATAAGCACTGAATAATATATTTAAGAAGCTTTCAAATTGCAAAGCTATAACAGTTAGATAAAAATGTTTCTTTTAATTTTACTTAAGCAACATACGTAACAAGTAAAATTATGAGGGATACATTACAAAAGTATAGGGCAAATAATTGTACTTTTTCAGTTTATTGCCTTATTTGAAATTTTGCTACAAGTAACATACCTCAACCATAGAAAATTAACTGAAACCTTTTAACAATAAAGATATTTTTCTCAACAACTAAACTAAAACTTTTTTCAACAAGGATTGACTAGGGTGCAAATTCTAATAGCATGCTCAGAAAATTAAGATAAAAAAAAAAAAAAGGTTACAGTAAGTAAATATATATATATATAAGATTTGATTTTAATATATATATATAGTTTTCATAAAATTTCCTTTTGGTTATTCAGTAAATACTTAAACATGTCTTTGGTTTGAAATTTCACAAAAATACCTCCTCCTCACATAATTTTGACACATTTCCACTATACTTTTGCAACAACAACAAAAAACTTTTTTACATAATTTCTCAGTTTGTTACAAAATTATATCATATGCAAAATACAATTTTTCAGGAAATCTCATAATAATTTTGAAATAGAACAACAAACCTATAGTAATGTTTTGATACTGGTAAAGTTCGTAATAAGTTCATCAAACACGGGCTAGAAGATTGAAGGCTGCTCCCAGACCCCAGCTTGTCTCAAAGGTCTTGATCTTTTTAACAAGCTGTTAGATAAGAAAAAGGGTGAATATCCTTTTTAACATCAGCACAAATACTATCTCAATGCCCTTACCATAAGTGCAGTAAAATTTTTTTAGTTCATATGGTATATTCATTACTGAACTACAATACTGATAATGTCTTTATTGTGATATATATATCTAGCAATAGATTCATGATGAAGAAACCGAAGCTTAATAATGAAGATGAAGACGGTTGATAAAATGTATTATGTTTTATTAACCATCTTCATCTCCAATGTGATATACATGTTTTGACAAATATGCAAGTTTAAAGAACATTACAGAATACTCTGTTTTCTAAAATAAACTTATCAGATGAACTTATATATCTAAGCTGACTAGCTGAAGGTACTTACAGTTATTTCTTTGCTTAAATTAAGATCAAAACCATTGTAGAGTAATGAGGCAATATAGGTCAGGTCCAGACACAGAAAGGGCATGTTGACATTACCATCACTAGAACAGGCTAGAAAGAAAAAAAAGTATAGTTCAAATTAATTTTTGTTACTTAACAAGTATTCTCTTTAGTGAGTTTCATTTGAAATAAACAATGGCAGTCAAGTTTGTTTTTTTAAATAAAAGTAAATGGTCCAATATTTTCATTAAACTTTCCATTGTTTAATTATTTGTGTAATTTAATTGAATTCTGAGCCAGTTTCTCTGATATAAACATTTGTATCCAAATGAAACTTCTTGGTAAATGTATATTTAGATGCTTTAAATAATTATCCCACAAAATTAATACAACTCACATGATCACTACTGTCTTAAAGAAAACTGAAAATAATAAAATATGTATAATTTATAATGGGTAATGAAGAAAAACTTATATTAAAGTTTTTTCATTACCCATTCAAGCCGCCTCCAACCATTATTAGCCTCAAAGTGGGTTCCTCATCATCGAATATGTATAACTTATATTATAAGATCCTGATTTATGTATGAGTTAATGTAAATTTAGTATTTAAGCATTTAATCTTTTGGCAACAATTGTTTTAACTCTAAGTTTTTCAATAATAATCTGAAAAAATGTACTTTATACAAAACTATTAGAAATGCTTAATAAAAAAGTACTACATTTGAAGTTTTTACGGACTGCACTTGGCTGGTGTGTAGAAGCAGACGATGTTTTGGTATGCATGCAGAGACAAAAACAATCTACTGCAAGCATATGCAGTTCATAAATACTTCAAACAGTAGAATTTGCTCTGCTTAAAACAAAACAATAGACCATCAAGTAATCTTTACAAAACAAACCTTTTTTTGCAGCTTTTAAAAAGTCTTCAACTAGCACCACACCACCATCATCTTTATCTGAAAGTAAATATTGTATTATATAACAGAATCATTACAGCTAATACTTAAGAACACAGAAATTCAAAAAGAAACATTAAGTTAAGTACATTCACTAGTAATTAAACCATATTTTTTAAATATCCCTATTATTTTATATCTTTAATGCTTTAAAAATTTGTTACACTACTAACTTTGAAAGATCACAGTCATAGAAACTCAACTAATGTCTTTTCTGGAAAGAATAAGCTTGATAAAAGTCATACAGGTAGATTAACTTTGGTCACTATTTGCAGAAACGTTCTTGCAATTACAGATACGAAAATTTTCTTCTCAAATTAACAATGTAATTAAATGTAACAGTAATGTACCATGTATGTAGGTTAAATAAACAAAAAAAACTTTTTTTAAACAAAATGTTACTTCAAATTGAACTGTTTCTTAATTATGTATTCTCAAGAAAATTTCCCAATCAAACATATGCTAAGTTGTGTGTGCAAATTCCTTCTCAGAAGACTCTGTAGGACTGAAGATAATACACGAAAGTCTTGGAAACTAGTTTTTTAATTTAATTAAATGTAACCTTTCATTGACATATTAGGTATATCTAGTGCTTATTAATTTTGAAAACAATTTCTACAAAAATATTTGAATAGTTGTTTGGGACTGAAAATATTAATGTGACATTGATCTATAAATATTCAGACATCAAATATTATTCTACCTATTAATTCTGAGTCAACAGCTCTGTCATAATAGTAGGACATAGCATACACTGGTCGCTGCTTCAGTTCTTCTGCTACATGTATGTTATTCCCAACAAACGTCTTTGCTCTGTCAAAACAAGCATCAAACCCATAGTTTCCAGACTCTAGTCCCCTGTTTAAGAAAATATCAGTTTAGGGACCTTCTTAGAATTAAAAAATCTGATGTTAATATGCTATTTGCTGATACTATGATCAAATATAATATGCAAGGAATACTTCATAGAGTATTATAACCATTAGCAACATTTAATTTTGGTTTTGCTTAAATTATAAAGACAAACTACTGGAAAATGTATTATAATTTGCTATATTACCTAAATTCACTTTACCAAACCACGTTTGAATTTCTATTTCAGAGTAATCTCAATTGATAACAGAAAAATGTACTTACATTACAAGATACTCCATTCCACCATGTTGCCACGATTTCATAATGAGAGGATGAATGCAAGGACTACGCAAAATTTCGGTTTTGTCATGAGCAGATTCTATAAAATTAAAAATATTTTAAACTAAACATTATAATCACCATTAAGTAATATGTGGAACAGCTGGCAAATACTAATAATACAACGTAATCTCATTAAGTACAAACAAATGAAGATCCACTAGGTAACAATCCAATCACTGAACTCTGTTACTGAAGTGAGAAAATATAACAAACTTTTAATGTTCCCAGTATTGGTATAATTTTTGTTAAATGTGTTTCATGTCATGTAATCTCAAGAAAAAAAAAAAGAAGACATATGGCTACCATGGAAAATGCAAAGTAACCAAACATGTGATAATCACGAAGGACACCAAGCCACAAACGTTTGAACAAAACAAAATAAACAAATATAATCATAAATATAAGACAACCATTTCATTTAAAAGGTTTAAAAAATATAAAATCAAAGAAGAGAAAAAATAATGGTGCCTACGGTACTTATTTGTTTGTTTTTAATTTCGCGCAAAGCTATACAAGGGCTATCTGCACTAGCCGTCTCTAATTTAGCAGTGTAAGACTAGAGGGAATGCAGCTTGTCATCACCACCCATCGCTAACTCTTGGGCTACTCTTTTACCAATGAATAGTGGGACTGACCATAAAATTATAATGCCCCCCACGGCTGAAAGATCAAGCATGTTTGGTGGGACAGGGAATCGAACCCGCAACCCTCAGATTGTGGGTTGAGTGCCCTAACCACCTGGCCACTTATGGTACTTTCAAGAAAATTAGGCAGTTGATAATAGGTTTTCACTGTTGTTGTTTTCCATTTTCTTATCTACTTTTTTTTGTGTGTAATTGTTTCTATGACATTAGATTGGATTAACTTTAATTCCTATCCTAATATTATCATGTCAGTACAAAAGCAACATTGTTACACATTGAATTTTCAAGTTAGCTCTTTTATTTTATCTAATGAAAATTCATACATAACATTGAAACATACTTCGTTTTCTATAAGGAAATGTAATTTTCAGTTTGACTCGAATTTGTAATTCCCATGTGATATTTTACAGTTTATTAAGTGCCAATTAAGTCGTTACCTGATTAGTAATACATAAAACTTACTTTCACCAGAACTTGATGACTGAAGTATGGAGAGACGAGCAGACATCAGTCCATTACCCAAGTAACTGCAAGAGAGAAAAAAACACAAAATATACTGTAGGAAATGTATTATTATATTTCTAGATTAATAATAATAACTAGAAGATACTTTAAAAAAAGTTCAATTGAACTAGTATCCATCATCTGTTTAGAAATACAAATACCACAATTACATACATAAAACTTTACTAACAAAGACTTTTCATCTCACCAACAAAAATAATGCCTGTTACCTGTGGGTATAAAGGAAAGCAGGTTTTTCTTGAATTTTTAACTTCACTAAGTATTCCTTGGGAATGGATACTAGCATATCCAGATTGGTTGGCTGAAATGTGATTTGAGTAGAACCACCCCCAAGATCCAGTGTGACAACAGTGTGTGAAGCATTGCTTAAATGGCCTACAAAACATAAAAGCAGTTAATCTACAACCACACACAAATTTCTTAAACCACGATGAGTTTTCCTTTCACGTGTATTTTGCACATTAATGATTTACAACAGTAGTGCTTTACAAAAAATTCAGGATATTTTCTGACTCCTGACATCTTTCACTCGATCATTTGTTCATTCACCAAGTGTGCACAGAAAAAATTAAAAAACTAATCGCTCATACATTGTTTCTGTAGGATATTTGATGTTAATGTAAGCAAAGTTATATCAGTGCCTTTTGTTGTAGAAATATTTATTTACATAGTACTACTTAAAATATTCAAACAGGTATTTATCTATGGATATATCCAAAATTGTAGGGAAAAATATCACAAGAAGAAAACTAAGTTTAGATTGTCTTAAATTAAATTATTTAGTGAATATATATACATGTATATATTTTTAAGATTCCATAAACTAACACTTACCTAAAAGAAAATTAACTGTATACCATGCAAAAATTCCTAAAGGAGAAAGATTTGAATTATTAAGTAAAGAAAATGATTAAAATGCAACAATAAACAATAAACATTTTTATCTACTTACAGAAAATCACAACAGTGCTAAGAAAAATAAAATATTTCAAAATAATATAAATTCTGAGAAAATTAACTTCTATAAAAATCATTAAAGTTGTTATCATATTCACACAACACTTATGTTTTTAAACCTTAATGCATCTTGCATATAATGAAATTCTCACCTTCATCATCTCCATCCATGATTGAAACAGAATCGTTGGAAACAAGAAATGGGTAGCTTTTGATTTTTTTGTCAACCTACAAGAAGACAAACGTGCTTTATGAAAACATCTAGACTGATGATTTTTTAAAATGAAAAACATCAGTACATTTCAGAGATTGAAAAGAGTAGTTGAAGTATTTGTCATATTCTTTCATTTCCCTTCAAAAATTTGTCCATTTTGTTTGTTGATAAAAATTACTTTACTTCTTATACCAATGCTCATTTTAAATATTCAAATATATGGTCAAAGATACAAAAACTACAAAACATCAGATACAAATCTTTTTTTAATGCCTTAAAAAAGAAAACTAATTATTAGCTGGATAGAAAAGTTCACCTCAATATCATGTTAAAAATTTAAGAACATAATAATCTGTAAAATTAAGTATGACAAGATGGGAAATTTATTCTCGAATTACCTCTTATGAGATTAACTATGGTGCTAAATATCTATTACGTCTGTGTTCGTTTGTTAATTTTTCGTAGTAATTCTTTCAGAGAAACTTCAGCGATACAAGTCTTTTCTTAAATAAAACTAG